GCGGCGGCAGCGGCCGCGGCGGCGGCCCAAAGTCGCCTGCACTCCTTGCCCCAGCACTATCAGGGCGCCAGCACGGGGGTGAACGGCACCGTGCCCTTGACGCACATCTGAGAGGGACCCACCGACGGAGGGATGGGGACGGACGGACGCCGCAGCCAAAGGGGACCGCTCTCTCTCCCGGGAGCAGACTCCCCCAGCCACTGCTCTCCGCCTTCCCAGCCTTCAGGCTAACGCACCCTCCTCCCCGCCGCCTTTCCCTTTTGTACAGAACAGAACAGCGACAAAGAGAAAAATGTTTTGATGACGTTGTAATAATAATTATTATAATAACAAATATTCATAACTGCTGAGGATAATGAAGAGAGAAGGTAACAGATTGCTCTAATGCTCCCTCCCCCGACACACACAGACACACACAAGCATTCACCACTCCCCCACCCTCCGAAGCTAATTTCTCAAACTAGGAGGATTTCCCCCCTCCTCTTGTTGTTGCGTTTTAGACGAACCGTCTGTGTTTTAAATAAGGTGATTTCCCCCCCCGTCTCATGTACAGTATTTATCTTTCACCCAGAAGTCCCACAGTGTATTTGCTAAAGAAAGGTTGGGGGGGGGGCAAAAGAAAGAAAGAGAGAGAAAAAAGACAAATATTAATTGTTCAAAGATTCAGGCGATGCCAACTTTTTTGCCACACAGAAGCATTAAGTGGGTACCCTTTGGGTCGCTTCTTGTGAAGATTTTTTTAATTGCCTAATTAAAATAAAAATAATGAGACAGCCGTTCTCGTTTATTACACAGTACCAAGGATGCAAATCCAAAATTACTTCTTTTTTTAAAAGTACAGTAGTTTTATGACACAGATTTTTGTTTTGTTTTTGTTTATTTATAAAAAAGTTTCTGCTATCAACAACAATATTCTGGATTTTGTAAATGTTTATTATGTCTGCATTTTTCTTTTGTTAACTTTTTTGTATTTTTTCTTGTAAATGCATTGTGGAATAATTTTAATTAATTTTAGGCGTTACAAGGGAATTCAGAAATGTGTATATAGTTTACTAAAAAGCATTTCCTCTGAAAAGGAAAACAAATAAAAATCTAAAGATGAACTTGATTCTGAGTTAAATCAATTTCAAACTGAAACTGGAACCAGTAAATCCAAAATGTACTAATTCATGGCATGCCTTAATACTAGAAATTGGAAATTAATTATATGTATAAATATAAGGTAAACTGTAATAAGAACAACAAATTGCAACTTGGGTTTAGACTTCTCAGTTTCTATGGAAAAAAACAAGGAAGGGAAGAAAGGTTTTTTTAAAAAATACGGTGTAGTTTTTGGATATTATTTTAATATCTGTTGAGTATTGTTAAGGAAGGCAATCTATTAAAATACTTTCCATAGCATTTATTGTTTACTTTGTTTATTTATGTAACTAGGCTACTAAAGATGGGTGGAGATTTTGACTGGGTAGATTTTCAGTCTTTACTAAGACCAAGAGTTTTAAAGAAGTTTGGATAATACCCTTTCTTTTCCATTTCCCTGAGGACACATATAATGCCGTCCTCACAGGACTCATCACGCTTAGGCGAGATACAACTGTGATGATGAATAGAAATTGGATTTAAGCAAAAGGAGAATGAGTTTCTGAACAAAAACGTTTTTAAAATATGGTCTCTCCACCCCAGCGTGGTGTTGTTTTTCTTGGAAAACCAAGGAGTCTTGTTTAGAGCGAAACAAGATTACTTTCAAGTCATGCATTTGTTTGAATGGGTGCTCTAATGTTGCTTAATGCTTCCAAATCAGATATAAAGTCGCTTTCTCCCATGCCTGATACTGAAGTTAGAAATCAATATTAAAGGTGAGATAATGGTAAAGACAAACTTCAGATTGCATTTTGCAATCAGTGCTTCAGCTTTCTTTCTTTAATTGAACTCATTTCAGAAAAGTATGGTTAGTAGAGCGGGGTGGGAGAACCTGTGAATGGAGGTCATGTCTTGAGCAAGCGATTAACGTTTTTCCTTGCATTATTTATTTATATCAGTTCCTGAGGCAGTTTACCCGGGACTAACCAGTAAAGTGTCTTTGAAGTCCTTGGGACGGGTCCAAATGATTCCAGAGCCATTGGAGGACAGGAGGAAGTACTTTTTCCCTTTTCAAAATAAAACCTCTCGCATAGGAGTAAGCGCAGTAGGTTTCAGTGGATCTCATTTCGATCTGGATAAGGGATGAAAGAACGGGTTAATCTGGATTCTGTTAGAAATGGATTAAGTAGTTGTGTTAGTTGGTTGGCCCACGGGCAGTAATTCTTCCCTATCGATTTGGGTGACTAGGTCTTGGGAATAGTTCTAAATGCGAGTCGTTGAGATTTTGGATTTTGGTTTTTTTAAAGAAAATACTTTTTCTGCTTGTTCTTAAGAATTATTTCAGTTCTTGTCACTTCTTCTTAAATGCGTTCGCTAGCCTACTAGCTACCCTTTTCTGACTCCCGAGGTCCGCAGGCGAAACCAGGGTGTTAATTCGGCCAGATCACAATCCAAAATCAGATCATATCAAGATGAGGCTGTTCCTCCTCAGCGATCCAATAAATGTCATATGTCTTCACGTGTGTGTGTGCGTGCATGATATATTTATATGTATATTAAGAATAATATGCCGTAGTGCTCTTTGGTTACAGCTCGTTAGAGGTTGTCAGAAATCCGATTGGACGGGAGTGCGGGAAGTATGCAATGGACCACTAAGCATCTGGGAGAGCAGGCTGCGTTTCTCTTTGATTGCCGGGCACTTTTTTGGAAGGAAGGGAAAAGGCAGAGAAACCGACACAATCTTCTCTACACCCTCTGGGAAGAGGAATTCTTTTGGGTCATTTTTGCTGGTCTTTACTCCTAGGCAACATGGGACAGACTGTGGTACTTCTATAAAAATGTAACGTTTTTGCTCAAAGGTACCCAAAAGCTTTCGACATAATTATTTTTATGTGTAAACCAGGTAAAGCTAAGTACTTAAAGAGCCATTGATTTCAATGGAAAAGATTTGCGTTCGGGAACCCACTCTCCCATTCAAATACATGGGACCCTGAAGTGCTCATCTTTGGCTAGATCGTTTCCCTAAATCGCTTCCTTTTTCTGAAAGAGAATGATTATTACGTCATTTCGCTCGAATTAACTTGGCTTTGACATTTTAAAAAATATTTTTGTTTTTGTTTTGTTTTCCCTTGTATCTTTCAGTGCAGGAGCAGATCAAATTACACCTCTTTGAACCCCCACCCCCCAGTGAAAGGCAGATTAGTGCAGTTATTATTTTTTAAATGAACAAATCTTTAGAAAATTCCCGCAGGATATAGATTCAAGTGATTTAACTTGCACAGCTAAATCAAGCTTTAAAGGATGTCTGGATTTCAGTGCTTTCCATTATGAGATGCAGAACTGTTCCTCTTTGATTGACAGCGCTATTAAAATTACCTATGTGAAATAATATTTTATAATACTCATTCCTTATTCAGCACTAAGTGGAGAGCCTGTCCCGAAAATACTGAGCAATGTCCGTGAGTGAGATAAAAGTGGGTTAACAGAAGCTTTGGTCAGGGCATTGGTGGCCTGAAAGTTCAGGATCACTACCACGTTGAAAAGAGGCTCGTAGCTTCAGACGTGCTACTTTCTTTTATCCTCCAGGATCTGGGAGAAGATCAGAGAACCTACCAACTCAGGAGGAGAGCGCGCAAAATGTAAGACACGAAAAGACAAACAAACCCCGTATTTGGCCTGAGTTGCTTAATTTGTGTCTCTCCACTGTTTTGTAGGACTGGGGATAAGGGGGGGGGGGGCATCGACAGCATGTTTCCGTGGACTGATGAGAACGGTCACCTCCCTCTCCAAGGACAGGAATCAAGTCTACTTTCAAGCACCTCACCAAACCCGCCTCCTCACAACACCCCTCCTTTTCCTGACGGAAAGAAACAAGGGGGAGAATCTGGGAGGACACGGACGGCTAGCTGCCCTGCTCTAGGCGCTCCCTGGCCCGTTAAGATCTTATCAGAGCGAAGTGGGAGGTGGGAACTGCCGAAGATCTGCTTAGAGAACCGTGAAGAGCCAGCCCCACGGCCTTGCAGGCCGCCACGCTTGTACAATGGGGCTCTAGGAGATCTCGCTGGAGTGTGTGTGTGTGTGTGTGTGTGTGTGTGTATGTGTGTGTGTGTGTGTTTGGGGAAGGGGGAGCAGCTTGGGGAGAGGGGGGCAAGAAGCGGACGCTGATCGGTCTGCCCTTTCCCAGCTCCTTCCTGCCAACCGCATCCAAACGGCAAGAAACAGTCAGAAAACAAGGGGAAAACCAACAAAAAGTTGGTTTTCCATACCTGCTGATACCGGCAGCTACCCGTGTTCTGTCTGGTAGGGGCAAGAGGGCCCAGTAACGGCAGAGTGGTGGTGGAGGCGGTGGGCTTTTGCTGCTGCTGCTCCTACTACTACTCAGCTCCCACTGAGGTTCTGGCAGTGGATGTTCTCGATATCAAGATCCCTTGACACAGGCGGGATTTAGAGGGAGAAGGTGGTTTGGATAATGTAGGGATTATTTTATCTTTTTAGGTGGCAAGCCGTTTGGCCGCAATTAAAGCGCCTAAGACTTTCCCCGGTACCATCTGTCTCACGGTTTCTCCCTCTTTTCCCGTGTTCACTGTTTAATCGGTTACTTCTCGCTCCCAAACTCTCTCTTTCCTCTCCTGTACTTTCCTCTCCCACGTCTCCCTCTCTGTGGGCGCGCCCGTGGGCGCTGTTGTTAGCTTGTTTGAGGTGTTTCAGATAATTCCCACCGCTTCCCTGTCTCCTATTGTAGAAATGCCTGGAGGGAAATGAGGTCTCCCTCTCGGGGGCGGGGGGGGGAAACTCTGGCCAAACTAGGAAATCCTTCTGTTTCTCTCTTTTTTTTTCCCAATCCAGGCACGTCGGATAGTGGGAAGAGAAATGGGGACAAAATCATAGGCCTGCCCGGAACCTGTGTGAATAGATTCCCTTGGCTACATTTAGGCTGTCATGACGGGGAGGCGTTTCCTGTAAGTCTCATTGACCTCTATGGAATTTACTCCTGAATAGAGACGCGATAAGTCTGCAGTGGCGGGGATTTG